ATTTGGGGTTATAATAAGAACCTACAAGAAAGTGGGTTTTGGGTTCTTAAGGTAGGTTTCTATCAAAGTGCTATAGGGATTTTAGGCTCTAGAGGACTTCTTATGTAGGACGATAAGTACACTACTTGCCCTAAGGGTCCAAAGGACCCAATACTTAGGTACTTTGGTTACGGATAGTAGTTAGCTAGGTTTATATTTGGGAGAGTATATGATTATTAGGCACTTGGACCCTTAGGGTTAGGGTTATAAATAAATAAAACTATAGCCACCGTACTTATAACCCTACTGACTTAGTATCCTGATCCTCTAAGCAAAGTTTAGGGCGGAACAGCCTGCGCCTCCCATGACCAAGCCCTTTCAGCCCTATATGCCCAGGAGACCACAAACAGAACCGAAATACTCAGGCTGCAACTCTGCAGGCCCAGACGACCTATACCACACAAGACAAATCCGCAACTGCCCTTAAGCCAAAGAGACACATCCCTAAACCCTAAACCCTAAACCCTAAACCCAAAACACCAACAAATTCTATGAGACACTGAAACTTAGGGCTCCAGTTACCTAAGTAACTAATGGGTTACTGGGTTGCAAACTTAGGGCTCCAGTTAGCCAATAACTAATGGGTTACTGGGTTGCATATTACATGGTCTTCACTCTTAACCTTTCGAGTTTCGGGTTTAGGGTTTAGGTGGTTTAGAGTTTACTTGAGTACTGTAACTGGAGCCCTTGATGAGTCCGTAGCCCTTGCCTCCGTGCCATCTGGCAGCATGTAGCTGAGGCGAGCAGCGACCTCAGAGACCGTCCAAGAACAGTCCAGGGCTCTATGGAACAATGCCTAAATCCTAAACCTTAATCCCTAAACCCCTACAAACCCCAAACCCTCAAACCTAAATCCTAAACCCTAGGCCCTAAATCCTAAACCCAAAACCCTAATTCCTAAACCCCTACAAACCCAAACCCTTAATCCTAAAACCTAAGCCCTAAATCCTAAACACTAAATAAACCCTAATCCCTAAACCCCTACAAACCAGAACCTTTAGTCCTAAACCCTAAGCCCTAAATCCCAAACCCTGAATAAACCCTAACCCCAAACCCCCTACAAACCCAAAACCCTAAGCCCTAAACTCGAAGCCCTAAATCCTAAACCCTAAATAAACCCTAATCCCCAACCCCTACAAACCCAAAACCCTAAGCCCTAAACCCTAGGCGCTAAATCCGAAACCCTACACAAACCCTAAACCCTAAACCCCTACAAACCCAAAACCCTTAATCCTAAACCCTAAGCCCTAAATCCTAAAGCCTAAACAATCCCTAATCCCTAAACCCCTACAAGCCCAAAACCCTAATCCTAAAACCCTAAGCCCTAAATCCCAACCCCTAAATAAACCCTAATCCCTAAATCCTTACAAACCCAAAACCCTAATCCTAAGCCCTAAATCCTAAACCTTAAAAGAACCCTAATCCCTAGCCCCTAAACCCCCACAAACCCAAAGCCCTAAGCCCTAAACCCTAAGCACTATTTAGGGTTTAGGGCTCAGGGTTTAGGGCTTTGAGCTTGGTGGGCGCTTCACCGCTGATTCCGGTCGGGGCCGAGTGGCAGACTTTGGCCCCATCTCTGGTACTGATCCCGGCCGAGGCATCTGCCACACCCGCTTCGGTTTAGGGTTTAGGGTTTAGGGTTTAGGGTTCCCTCTGCAACCTGTCAGCATTACCGAGAGTGTCCTGACAGGTGATGGTGTACCTGATCACGGCGAGGCAGTAGACTAAACCCTCAACCCACCCTACCCTAAACCCAAAACCTAAACCCTGAACCCTAACCCCTAACCCCTAAACCTGTTCGGCCCCCCCTCGCTTTGTGGTGTCACCAAGGCTACATCGTCCAGGTTCGACCTGTTGAGCCTGACACCAATCGTTCTGCAGAGGTTGTCGTCGTACTTGTGCTCCTCTAGGGCTTAGGGTTCAAAGTTTAGGGTTTAGGTTTTAGGGTTCAGGGTTTAGGGGTATTGGGGTCGTAAGGGTCAGGGGTTTAGGGTTTAGGGTTTGAGGCTTAGGGTGCTATTTCGGGTTGAGGGTTGAGCGAGCATGAGCTTGCTCATTGACTCCTGTATGCCTCGAGCCCTGGGATTTAGACTGTTTTTGTGAACACTGTTGCAGGCTTATTGAGCGGGACACCTGAATCGGGCACCCGGAGAGCCTAATTCATACCCCTTAACGAAGGAATATACCTGAAATTATAGGAAGGATATAGCATGATACACCCCAAAATCCTATTCCAATTATTAAGGCCGCTACATTAAACCCTAAACCCCTAGGTCTTTGGTGAGGTTGCCGATCGAGGCGCGATGAGGTGGTCCAGTAAGGAGTAGTTCAAGGCCAGGGCAAAACTTCTCCTGGAGCGAGGGTAGGGTTTAGGGTTTAGGGTTTTAGGGTTTTTGGACTTTAGGGTTTCGGGTTTAGGGTCTAAGGTTGCTTGGCTGACTTAACTTCTGAACCCCTCCTAAACGTTAAACTTCTAGCCTACTTATTACAGATCACATGGAATCCCAAACAAACTTAAACAGCCAACCAGAAGAACGCCAAGTTTGGGTTCAGGGTTACAGGCCTAGGGCTTTGGCTTTAGGGGGTTTGGGGTTTAGGCTTCAGGGCTTTTGGGCTTCGGGTGTTATGCTACATGTCTAGAGGGATTGCCGAAAGGGGATATGAGTACAGTTGATACAGATCCATTTGCTAAGCTCTATAAGGCGTGAGAAAATATGGACAAAAACGGGCCCGAAACACGCTATAAACTGATCTGTCTCCTTCCCTAACTTTGACCCTAGTCCTCATAACCCCAACCCTAACCCCATCAGCCTAACCCCAACCCTGATAACAGAGGGGTTAGGGAGGGTTCAGGGAT